TCTTCTTATTGAAGCTTGTACATCTTTTAGAGTTAATTTTGCCTGAATGCATGCAGGGAGCGCATATTTCATGTAAGCTGACGGCTTGCGCATGATTTATGCGCTAGAGGCAGACGCTGACTCTTTCATGTTGAAAACAAATCCCTATACGCTGGTTACCACAGAGGGGATTCTAAATCTATATCGGTGGTGTCGTTTATACGCTTTCTTTGTTAGTGTTAATTATTATCTGTGGCTTTTAGGTTCTAAAATGACGCCTGATTGCAGGACTGCAGCAATTTTGACAATCAGTTTTTTTTTTGCCTGCACTGACACAGTACATGGGTGTCCTCTGGTGTTTTACGTTATTCAAAATGAGACCGCCGTGGCCTAGATCGAAAGCGCGAGCCTCGCGTCAGCAACCGAGCACCGTGCCCACGGTACCACTGAGGTGGACGCCTTTCTTATTGCCGTAACTATTTCTCCACGATCTTCTCATCGCACAACTTGACGTTTTTTTTTTTTGTTTTTTGCGACATAGCGTGTTCATTCTACACAGCGGTGCCCCGTCTTGTCTTTATGCATCTTCTTTGTATGGACGCTTCGCGAGTACAGTTTGCATAAGCACTTGCGTATGATCCCTGATAGCTCACAGTATCAATAATAAATTATTTACTTAAATAATAATGCGTGCTGAAAGAGTTTAAATACTGACGGTGTGTGTGTGTGTGTGTGTGTGTGCGTGTGTACACGCCTGCCGTTTCCCCTATTATCATCCAGTGTAGAAATAATTTATTTTTGTGCATTAATGCAGCGCTGCCAGAAGCAATTCAAATTATACGCTCCATGGCAGAATTCACTGAGTACTGTCACTAGTTGCTTCGCAGTGGTCGTAAATGATTAAAAAAACAACATCAATTGCGTAATGATTCGAGACAGGACGAAAAGAAAACTTGAAGTACAGAAACAATGAAAAAAATTTGAACTGCACACATTCTTACAAGGGTCATCACACCAGCATAGAAGGCGTACATAAACCGAGGAAAAGATCGTAGAAATAAAGAACCTGTGTGGCTTTGTAATGGTTTGGGCGCTCGAACGGTCGGTAATCGAATTCCGGCCGCAGTGGCCCCACTTCGATGGAGATGAAATGCCGGAGTTCTTAAACTTAGGTGCAAGTTACATAAAAACACCTGTTCAAAATTTCCGAAGTCCTCCAATGTATACCGCGTCTCTCGTGATCATATGGTGATTCCGGAACGTACACACACTCTTTAAACTTCAGTGGGTACGACACCGCCGCTGCGCAAAGCTTTATTCCCACAAATGAATATTACGAAAAAAAAACAAGAATATCATCTGCAAAGAAACACGTGTAATATATATTTAATGATAAAGTTCTCATCGCACATAGTGAAACCAAGAATGAAGGGCAGATACAGTACCAACTAAGAGCAGCAAGCAATGTTTACGAAGTGAAATACGCGATTCATGCACACGAGAATCAAGCATACAGCCGTCAGCGTGTCTGTTGCTTACACGAAATTGGTGCCAGTACAAATTATGCATGCGGAATACCGGCTGGAAACTTACTCTGTGAATGGATGATCTGTTTGTCGGATGCCACTTGTCATGTTTGAATTTCACTTTTGAAAAGGCCTTCATTTCGGGTCTCTTAGGAAACGATACAGCTTCCAGAGTTTTTGCAATGATTAGTGCCCTGCGGCACGCAATACCCGCTACGGTGACGGTAGCGAGCGCATTAAACCGGAGAAAAGCGAGCGCCAGCACAATTATTCGGGCGCAGCGAACACGCAGAAGTGACTGAGTGGAGTCAAAATGGCGGCCATGCCGCCGCTAAGGCCGAGGAGGCGGCACCTGCCCTTACAAAGGCTGACACCACTCTAAGCGGGGGCGCGCGCATCGAGGCACTCTAATGCGACGCCGTTTGCAGGGCCTCTCGTCTTCTGTACGCCGCAGCTACCATGTGGTGTCGGATTACAGCGAGCGAGTATCGGATTACAGCGACTTGTAGCTGGGCCAGTTGGTTTATGTAAAAGAATTTAAAAAAAATAACTCATTAGCTTAGTCGTGCCTCGAGCATGGGAAACAGAAATTCGCACAATTTTCTGCGTCGTCAACCACTATATAAATAGGTACATATTAGCGCAAGCAAAATAACAATGACTTGAGAAAGGAGTGGCAGGAGGCAGAAATATCTCAGCTCCCGACATTTCTGCTTCGTCCCACTTCTTTCTCGAGTGTTTTTGTTTTCTTGAGCTAATATTAATTTATTCCTTATAGCGAAAGAGGGACGCCGAAGTTCGCACAACGGGGGGGTCACCATTCCCCTCATCGTGATTTACGGCCCGTGAATCGACTGGCACTCGCAAAACTGCCCATTTCCTACGCATTAGTGCAATGCGCCTTCCATTGCTTACATGAATGCGAAGCGCATGTTTCGCACTCATGTAAACGTGTTTTATGCACACCGATGTCACCACACTTTCTTATAAACTTATCCGTTTCAGAAACGTTTCTGTTCTTTTCGAGCTACTAGGCGTAAGTCCAAGATCGGCTATTTCTACTCGTCAGGTGTATGACTCACGCTAACGAGTCAAGGAGCTGCTATCTTGACGCATTGACAGTTCTCCGCACGGCAGACTTCCCAATGACGAATTGTCAGCAGGTGCCGCATGCCCTTGACATTTTTCTCTATTCTTTTTCTCCCCTTCCCCCTCCCCGTGTAGGGTAGCATATAAGCCTTTCCTTTGCCTTTCTCTCTCTCTCTCTCTCTCCTTCAGGCGAAAGCGTCGGCAGGGTGCCTTGTCGCATGGTGTTGTACACTGGCACTGAAGAAAACCAACAAGTTCCCTACTCGACGTTGCAATCCTTAGATTGAGTGGCATAAACCCTCAGTGCATAGGAAATATAGATGGGCTTCACCACTGCCGCTCCCCCACCAGACCTGCTTAGTGGGAGCATAGTCAAAAGTTATCCACCTTTCTGCCTCCCTGAAGGACCTCACTTGTTGCGGGTGCTTCAAAAGCAGAAAAAAAAGAGCCCTGGTGCCTCATTGCTGTCCCCGCACGGAAGTGCTTTCTTACACCACGCCGTGCATTCAGCAAATTTCATGCCACTTCGCTTCGTTGTTACTGGCTGAAAAATCTGCAAGATTTTCAGGCAGCAGCATGATTTTAGCCAGATTATGCAGTGAGCAACGGAATAAATATTGCTCGATTTTGTGGTTTATTGAAACCGATGACGGATATTCACAGGCGACTCCGAGAGAAGAGTTTGCAAGCGGCCGCGTCCCCTTAGAGCAAGTTTGCAGTGATTATGAGGAACGCCGTCATGGGGTACTCCAGAACATTGGTGTTCGCGCATTTCGGCGCTATGGAAATGTGCGCTTGTCGTATATAAAGGTGGAAAGCGAACACGCGTCCTCAACTCCTGCCGCACCATAGTTTTCCCCAGAGTAAATAAATGAAATAAACACGCAGAAAGTACAAAACAGACTTCATCTCATTCCTGTAGGTGTGCCTCGTTTCGTGTTTGTGCTGTTTGTTGTGATGGGTTCATACCACCGTCGTTCATACCAACAAGCGCAGCACGTCTGAAGCTCCGTATATTTCACGGTAAAAAAAAAGATATTCACAAATACCTTACCCACGCACGTCTGCTCAGTTCGCTCGTATCGCTCGTTTGTCGTTCGTTTTTCTGCTTTCTTCTGACTGTCGTCGCACAGCCCTCGCTTTTCGCTATAGTCCGTGGGGGGTGAGGAAGGCGACAAAGACGTGCACACATAAAAGAGGGACTTTCCAAGAATTCGGCCTTTCTTTTCCCGTGAAGACGCTCACCCCTTCCTCTCGGAGGATACTGCCCACCTGTTTTCACGCTCTCCCGCGGTACCGCGCAGCCTTATGAGACTCTGAGGGGAGGAAGGCTTACAGATGACGGTGCATGGTTTGAAGTTAGAAAAGACGTTTCCTCCTGAGGCAAAATGTTTTTGCACGCCGCATTCGGGGAGACAGGGAACCTTCAAATTCAGCGCTTTCCTTATTTCTGTTTAGGTGGCGCTAGGGGAAGATTTTCGTTGTAGTGATAGGAATAATGCAGATTTCTCAATATTCCTGCAGTTCTTGTGTGCGATTCGTAAGCATAAGTATACCAGGAGACCGTAACTGTTATATTTTAGGCTATGCATGCTTAGCATTCAGCGCTATTTCAAGATAACAACGATTTTGTTGATGTTTACGGCACGATAAATTAAGACAATTTGCGAGCTTTGTTTCGCATTTCTGCTTGCTTTGTTGAAAAACGCTACGTTGAGGAAATAGATCAGGGGTTCTAGTTTATCCACGCGAAAATTCAGCTAACGAACTTCAGTAGTTCTCCGCAAAAATGGGCCACGGTAGGTCTATCTAATGAGAATATTGCCCAATTTATATCAATATAATTAAAAAGCGAGCGGGCGTACATAAATAAAATTGAGCACTCAAACGGAAAATGCCATCCTCTATATACACCCGGAAAATGAATTTTCTCTAGCGAATAGGTGCCGGATAGTCCGCATCGACATTTACTAAATTTGGCTCTTTTCAAAAGCTAATCAGCAATACAGTAAAGGCGCTAGAATAATTTGCTACGTTGAGGAAATAGATAAATATGTTTTAAATGTTCTGCGCAAAGAACAGTGCTGTAACTGCAGCAGATTTTTCAGAAAATGGTCACTGCTGACACACAGTCAGACCAAACCATGTAACCAGCGCTTATTCTTGGCTCTCCCTACCCAAATGCTAAAAGCTTACTTATTTTTAATAGATATGCTTAAAATGTACAAAAATTAAGCTTTTCAATGACACATAAACCAACTATATAAGACAAGAAGAACAGCCGCCACGTCAGTTGGAAAAGTGACAAAAACGATGTGTTCGTGCCGCCGGAGTGAGACCGCCGCCTTAAGCGCGTAAATTGCGGATCATGAAGTGTAAAATCGGTTAAAATATCGCCGCACCGACCTTCCACTTTCCGTAAACTTCAGTAGTTTCTAGCATGCGGCTGATGAAATTTAGATTCCAGGCGATGGGGCTCCAGGCGATGTACGACTCTTCCTTTGCCAGGTATTGCGTCGCGTCCAGAGCCAAGCCATAGTCGACGGTGCCAGCCCTGCGACATAGAAGCGTGGCACAAGAATGGCTTCGAGATCAAGACAAGCCCATCGCTCTCAGAGGCAAATAAAAAAATACAGTGAAAAAAAAACAAAAGAAGGCACAAACTAAAGTTAACAAGCCAGAGAATGATTGCATAATAACAAAATCAATTAAACCAGCAAGACCAAGTGACCCTCACCTAAAGCATGAGTTTCATTTATTGCTTATAATGAACCAACATGACCGGAAAGCCACGTACAATTTCGCAAAAACCCACTGAGAACGTGAGTGACGCCGATAAAGATACAAGGCGAGAGGGAATCGCTGATCATTTTGAAATCTTGTTCATTCAAAAAAGAATGCTACATAAGCAACATGAAACTTGTGAGGCAACTATGTGCCATTTCATGACTATTATTACGAAACAAGTGTAATGGAGCTGAAGAAATGCAAACAACACATTGTTGTAACATTGCACGATTTTTTTTTTCTGCGCCGAGTGCTACGTGACCTCTACGCCAATCACTGACAATTATGTGCTTGACGTAAAAATTAGCACTGATGCAACGTCGCTATTGTTATGACAAATTGAATAGAATACGAAGATTGTGTAATTAAACTGCAACTTCCTGTGCTAACCTGTCACACTTTTTCTCAACAGCATGCAGTCTTAAAATAATTTTATGAGCGCAATTTGTCACTGTGTATGCGTAAAAAATCGATAATATAGTGTTATCCTTAAACTCCGGCAGCCGAAAAACAATGCAGTGTTCCGAAAAAGTCTCACTTTCGCTTCTCAGATAATAGGTGCGGTCTAGAGCTCCACAGACAGAAAAAAAAAAAACTATATTACGATGCCATGGGCTTCCCGTTTCCTGCGTCGGCAGGATACGTCACACGAGCTCCATTTTACGCAGTGAATGCAGAAAATTTTACGGCCGCTCGAAGAGGTGCAGTGCCATAATGAGATCCCGAATCGCGAATATTATTTGTCAAAATATCTACAAGCTGTTTTACGAAGTTACGAGAGTTTTAACGGCCTTCGGGTATAAAGATAAGAGATAACTCAAAACAAATAAAATGAAATCTATTCTCTCTCCGTACAAAGTGCAGACAGTGGGGTTAATGAAAAAAAGAAAAAAAAAAACCGCTGCTTGCCAGGTTCGCAGCCTCACTAGTACTTCGGAAAGATCCATGGACGCGAAAATATTTGCGAATGAGACTTCATGTACGGTATATTACGCAGCCAGCTAAGAGAAATGATCAACTAATATTGATAATGGGCAACTACAGTATTAATGATTATGCCTGTAGATGGTCATCAGCTACACGCCCAGAGTGTTAGAGGTGCACGGCGGTTAGCAGTATCACCGAAACAACACATACAATGAAGCAGCGGACTAGCCCTGCTTAAAGCAACGCACCTTGCCAGATCCAGAATGTCGTCCAGTAGTTGAGCCCTGTTAATGACGTGAATGTCCTGAAACACACACATACACAAAATAATCAAATGAGCGACCTCCCTTTCCTTCGCGGCCAGCTGTTAGGAATGCTGCTTCCACAGCCACATCTGACTGAAGCTCATTGGCAATCTGGGTGCTTCAATAATCCTCACTGACGAGAACAATTATCACAAAGTTTCTGAAGCTACAACAACAAACAGAGTATTGCCGAAAAAAAAAGGCTGTAGAAACGGAACACGTTCGGCATATGATAAGAAATTCTGCATTTATCGATCATCATGCTCACAAAATATATGCTACCACGTCAAACAATCAGTTTTTATCACCACCAACTACGTTCCACGAAGCACCAAACTAATGCTGTTTCCTTCGTTTTCGCTTTTTATTTAATGAAAATCTTTTTCACATGCTAGGAGTGAATGAAACAATCTCATGTCGCCCCCCTTCGCAATGCGCGCGGTAAAGCTTCAGGGGCGAAACACCGCAGGTCCTTGGCTTGTCGGCTAGTCGGTGTGCCACACCCGTAGGTCACGGGATCGAATCCAGTTTGCGGCGGCTGCATTTCCGATGGAGGCGGAAATGTTGTAGGCCCGTGTGCTCAGATTTGGGTGCACGTTAAAGAACCCAGGTGGTCGAACTTCCGGAGCCCTCCACTACGGAGTCTCTCATAACCATATGATGGTTTTGTGACGTTAAACCCCACATATCAATCAATCAGTCAGCGTGCCACGTCGTGGTCACTGTTCATTATAGACGAGTATGCACCACGAAAATTGGGTAAAACCCACTACTTGACATCCGACCACACTATGCGTTTCATGAGTGACAGGTTCGTCGTTACTGGCGAAAATACTTCATTCGGCTAGGCAGTGGTGTCAGAATTCCTGAGAAAATTTGCCAATGCACATAAGTTTTATTTTTAAGTCTAAAACCAAGGACACAAACGTGCATCTACAGTATAGTGTCGAATAGAAACACCACTTCTTAGAACCTACTTGCAAATTAATGATACGTTAGTAGACTGGTGGCGAGTAAAGAAGCAAAAGTACAGATTTTCGCTGTGGGAAACATTGGGACACACAGCATGCTTCTTTCATACCCTCTTTACATTAGTGGAGTTGAAACACCCTTCCCTACATGTCCCTTCGCGACTATTTCATGAAATGCACTCGCACATTTTTTTCTTCTGTTGTTACATTTTTTTTATTGCTATCAACTAGACAGATCATTACTTGTTAGCTACCAATGTAAATCACGTTTCTCAGTAAGTCCTAGGCGGTCATTCTGGTGATTGAATGAAAAAAATAAAAGTTTGAAATGCAGACGTTACCGCATACCGTATGTTTTTCCATGAGCTGCTTAATCAGCAGCTTCCAGTTTAGCTCGTCATAGTTGACCTTGTAGAATCCCACTTCTTGCACGTTCGCAATGAACCAATCGGATCTTGATGTAGGCAGATCCGTGATAACGGCTGCGTCAAGAAATATTTGAAGCGATCAGCTCGCACTCATGAACAAAGCCTACAAATAATTATGAACACTAACGCTAGCCAGATATTCAAGGCGGATGGGGGAGTGGGAGGGTTCCAACTTCGTTGATTTCCATTGCGCATTCTCGCGCGTGTGTTTGGAAGTGTGCGTGTACATAAACAGGTATGCATAAAATAAATAGGTATACATAAAATAGGTATACATAAAATAGGTATACATAAAATAGGTATACATAAAAAAATAAAACTTTCGAGGGAGGAGGTTTGAACCCTTCAAACCATCATCTTTCTAAGCCAATGACACCAACGTGAGGTAAATTCAGCAATAACATTGCTGAAATGGCAAACGCGACTTGATGTTTTGTTTGCGACGAGACGACGCGACCAAACCATTACAATGTTGTAATATTGAAAGTGGTATTGGTTCCATCATGACCCACACCACTTTGGAGCAGTACGCATATTCACGATAGAAAACACACCAAGTCATTGCTTTCAAACTACCTGCTTGTGAGCGGTAGCAGATAGTATAGTGCGTTAAACAGCGAAGCGTCGAAACCTCGCTATTCATAATAATGAGACATAGCCACATAACAATGAGATAGTTTTGTTATTTTGTGGTTAGGGGAGGTGGGGAAAAAGAAGAGGTTATAAAATAACTTGTTGGTTTATTTGGTTGCTCATTAAAAAAATCGTTCGAGCACCGTGGTGCGTGCGTATATGGCTGTGTGAATGTGCCACATGCTTGCCCTCTATTTTTCTAAAAAAAAAAAAGAAGATGCTGGCTTGCCTACTTTCAAACCTCACCTGTCTTGTTATTAAACCACAGCTTGGGTTCTGTCGCATTCCAGTTGGGACTCCTGGCATCGGTGTAGGTGAAAGGTACTTTCCACAGCGTCCTGGTAAAAAAAAAAAGGTGGGAAACAATGAGCCGATAATGCAGTATATAGCTCGAACATTTCTGTCCTATTGACTTCACAAGTTTAGGATGTGGGCAAAAACACCTTTGTCTCTAATTTAAACAAACATTTCACTATAGGAAACCTCTGTACAAGTGTCATTGTGACCTTTCAATTTGTCAGTGACATCATGGTAAAATAATAAATAAAAGAAGTATGTGCCAGGAAGGTGTATCCTCTAGCAAAATTTCTTTTCTTTTTGCACCGCCTGCTAGTAATTCCCTGCTTAACGAGTATCTTACGCGTATAGGCTACAAATTATGAATCTTGTCAGTATCACCACTAATATTGTCATTGATACTATTATTGCTACAAGGCTAACAGAATAGCAGTCCAAATCAACTGTCTGACTGACTGCCGTTCTAACCTTGATGGTTTCTACCATACAAAAACAGTATTACCCGTCTCATACAGGAATTCTAGCCCACAAGAAGCAAGTAAACTGTAAACAGAACGTTACAAAATACTGTACCGTTCTTATAGCATACTAATCGGCAGGAAGTGTTGCAACTGTATTTTCAAGAAAAAAATACAATGAAAAGTACAATGCCGTCTCACGTGTTGTCCTTGGTGCCGTCGACCAGGAAGCGCTCTTGCGATATGTTTGCCGAGCCACTCTCAGTACGACCTGTTTACGGTGATGACCGGGTAGCCCGTCTGGAGAGTCCACGAATCCATCACAGTCTTGACGTCCACGCGGTTGCTTTCGTTTTGAGCCTGCGTCCAATGAAATAATTCTTACAATATATTCTTACAATATATAATTATGAGGTCCCTCGGTAAGCGTTTCTATGGCTTAATATTTTTTTAGCAGGATGTGCAGAACATGCCTACTCCTTTTGACAATTTTTAAACACGTGCGTTTACTTCTTGATGTCACTGTCTGGGCTAACCCTGTGATCTATTAGATTTCTCTTATACACAAGTGACTTGCATGTACAAACTGTCACTTATGCTTATTTTTATACGCGTATTACACAGTCCGTTAGCATTGTATCATTTTGAGTTACAGGGTGCAGCTGGACGCCTTCTCAGATTTTTTTTTTTTTGCCTTTTCACTGGTACGCCAGGCAGCTTGTTCCTTGTTTTTACTTGAAACACCACCGATATTTGCGAAATAAATAAATAAAGCTCGCTCCTTGTGCAACGAGTCACGCAACATATTTGTAAACGCCACACCCAGGTCGCGAAGGTCATGCAGATACGCTATCAATGGGCACCCAATACATCGGACTTTCTGCCATGTTAACCGTGTCTTGCAAATAGTTTCAGTGATTATCTTTTTTTTTTTCACTATTGTTACCTGACTTTTCCCCAATTGTACAGAGTAAATCTCACCATCGTGAGCTCCGTCCAAAGATCATCCTGCCGGGCATTGCTGAAAGAGCGTTTCTTCAGGTAGTTCTAGAAAAAAAAAAGAGTGAACATTTAGTCATTGTGCGGACTATATGACGCACTACGCACCGACACGCGATATGTCAACAACTAAATCGCTATCGTGATTTGCACGAATTTCTCGAAATCTTACCGAGACACCTTTCCTGAAGACCGGTTCCGTGAGGAAGAAGTTCATCATACGAATTATGGACGCCCCCTGAAAAGACGAAGAAAACAAAAGATCAAATGTTAACGAAGCGATTGCGGTTTGCGGGGAGAGGGGTTTATTCCAGAAGATCGGAACTGCTCTGTAGGGCTACAACTATCTACAACTGTCACGCTGCTATTGGCCGCTTCTCGCAAATTCATGATAAACGTATGCATAAGTGGCAAGTGTGTAGTACCTAGCTGAACTGGTATAGCGCGTTACGGGGAAGAAGAAACGGCCGAGCAGACCGAGACAAGAGGACAGAGCGCTAACTTCCAACTCAACAGTTGGAAGTTAGCGCCAACTTCCAACTTCCAACAGTTGAAAGTTAGCGCTCTGTCCTCTTGTGTCGGTCTGCTCGGCCGTTTCTTCTTCCCCGTAATGCGCTATACCAGTTCAAGTACGACGAACCAACTCGCCCAATCTTCAACACTCGTGTAGAACCTAGGATTTGAGCACTTTTGCAAAGTCGCAAGAATCATTCGTTACACAAATACTTGTCAATAAGCCTCGTTAGCTTGCTGCACAAATCGCAATATTTTCACAACCCTTCTGTATTTCGAAACACCTTCGCGTTCTCACAGTTGCCTAAGCGTTACATCATTACATAACAACGGACACAGGCGTCTAATCACTGATGCCGACATCCGGCTTTGCTGTTGTTCCCGCAGTATGCACCACATGAGTGTGCATATGGGGCTACCATTCAGTTATTGCCACTAAAACCACACATGGGCGCGACGTAAAGATATCTGGTAATGGAACGGTGACTATGGAGCCACTTGCAAAAAAGTTCTATCCTGCGCTAAACTGGCATCTGGGAGTATCATCGTAAAGAACAAAAATTTGTGTCCGCGCATATGTTGGCCGTTCGTTGAGATTCTATACCTTTCCGTACGATATCTTGTCAAAGTTTTCGATAATTTCGTCGGGGTTGTAGACCGGAACCGAGACAGGGTGCGACGACTTGAGGGAGTCGAGCTCCATCACTGGCTGCAGTTCTTCGGCGATGAACTGTTGTGCCTGCGAAAAGAGAAAGACGCACTCAGTGGCCACATCGGCTTCTGTTACGCATATACGGGTTGAAGCTTTCACGCGCAAGATGTTTTAGACGTCTCAGTTCACAGAGATCTCTGTGAAAGCTTGATATTTGTAAAGCACTTTTAACAGCAAACATGTTTACACCTTTACCTCCCTTAGCAAAAATTTCCTCACGTCGACCACGTTTGGTGCAGTGGTTGACGCGAGCAAGCAGTAGCTAGAAACATACCAAAAGGTTTATGAGCACGCTTTCACCTGACACACGCCTCCTTCAATCCGACAACGTGGCATGAATGATGGAGTGGTATACGGCGCAAACATACTGGCGAAACCTCTTGCGTATAGGTCGAGTTACTGTTTGTGCACATATAGCCAACAAGTATCACAGAAACATAAAGCGTAGTACGAGCGCTCCATGTCAGAAATACCACTACGCGAGGAGGCAACAGCGATGGACTATATATTGCCGCGCCCGAAACAAAGAACGAAGACGATGTGCGCGCCAACAGCCTCGTGAAAAGGAGGACTGAAGAAGACGACGTACTTTCGTTTTTTGGCTCGCCTGCTCTTGGCTCCTGCATAAAAACACACGCCGTCTGTTCTCGGACTCAACGTCTCGGTGCACTGCTTACGTTGAACCGCGACACTGGTGGAGGCGCTGGGTAGCAAGCCTGCTGATGCTCAACACCCCATCTGGGAGCCGTTCATCAAGTCCCGACACGCAGCCATCTGTTACGACACCAGTGCACCGCTTCAGTCGCCGGTTGCTAGGCCTATCTCCAGAGCTGACCTCCTTCGACGAACATTCTACCAGGCATTACGTACCTCTACCAATGGCCTCCGCTAGCCAGCCACAGTTGGTCCAAGGTATACAAGGCAGCCCCGTTTCCAATCCAGCCCAGGTAACACTTCTTCAGCCACTTGTGCCTAATCGCTTCAGTGGTGCCCCACACGAAGATGTTGAAGATTGGCTTGAGCATTACGAACGCGTTGCCGACATCAACCAGTGGAATGCTCAACAGAAGCTCGCCCGCACGTATTTCACTCTCGATGACGGCGCTCACACGTGGCTTGAGAATCGAGAAGGCCGTATATCCACATGGGATGACTTTCGTCAGCAGCTGATTGACACCTTTGCTAGCGTCGACCGTCGAGAGCGGGCTCAGCAGCTGCTCGAGTTAAGGCTTCAAAAACCTAACGAAACTGTGGCAATGTTTGCTGAAGACGTGACGCGCCTCTGTCGTCGGGCTGATCCCAACATGTCCGAGGAGAAGAAGTTGCGCTACCTTATGCGTGGCGTCAAAGAACAACTGTTCGCTGGACTCGTGCGCAATGCCCCAACTACCGTGGCCGATTTTATAAGAGAAGCCACTGCCATTGAGCCTGCTCTGCACCAAAGATCGAGGCAATATGATCGCTCGTCCACTACCACCCCAATCAACGCCGCTTCAGTGACTCTGGACAATCAGGGCTCCCTACGTGACCTTATCAGAGATATTGTCCGCGAAGAAATGCAGAAGCTTTGGACTCCTCCAGTGGATACACCAGTGACCGCCGTTGCCGCGGTCGTTCGTGACGAACTTAGGCACGCTTTTTCAGCAGCTGATCTCGATCGCGATCAGCGTCAACTGAGTTACGCCGACGCTGTCCGCCGACCACCACCCGTCCCGCCCATTACATCATACTACCAGCCACCTACAGCCACACCTTCGTCGCAACCATTGCAGGAGGCTTTCAGACGTAGGCCCGTGTCTCTGATGTCTCCATGCCACCAGCCACCACTTGCCGCGCCTTACTCACCACCACGAGAGGACATAAGACGCCCACAATTTCGCAGAACGGACGCTTGGCGCACCGTCGATCGGCGCCCTCTCTGCTTCAACTGTGGTGGTGCCGGCCATATAGCTCGCTATTGTTGGTACCGCGACACATCGCTTCGCCCGTCTCGGCCAGGGTACGACGGTCGCCGTGCCAATGACGACTACATTGTTCGCCATGACGACCCTGGTTTTCGAGGACCTTCAACAACGTGGTCTCCCTATCACGAGTCGCCTCCTCATCGCCAGCCCGATTCCGCCCACAGGTCACGCTCTCCATCCCCTGCTCAGACAACATCACCGAATCGACGTACTTTTGCTGACCTTCGGGGAACAAGGTCACCCAGCCCTTACCGGGGAAACTAAAGGCGGCGACCTCTCGGGGTAAGGTCGCAGCCCGACCACAAGACGATAAAAAGTCCCCAGTACTGCCGCGACAGAACGACTTGACGCCAACGAATATTAACAACGACGAAATGGTGAGCGCCGACCTCCATGTAATTATTGACGGAGAGCAAGTGACGGCCTTAGTCGATACGGGTGCTGATTTTTCCATAATAAGTCGCAAGCTGGCTGATCATCTTAGAAAAGTAAGAACTCCATGGACAGGACCACATATAAGAACAGCGGGTGGTCAATTGCTGCTCCCTACTGAAAGATGCACAGCAAGAATCAGCATAGGGGACTCTTCTTTCGTCGCGACTTTCATTGTTCTCCCAGAGTGCTGCAAAGATTTAATTATAGGAATGGACTTTCTCAGGGAGCATGGCGCAATAATCAATATCCCGGACCGCGTGGTTTCATTTTACGAGAGTGCTCGTGTGACTGATCCTACATTACCAGAGCACAAATCCTTTCGTCTCAAAGACCACAATGTAGTCGTGCCGCCTCGATCATGTATCCTCGTTTCAGTAGCATGTGACGTACCGTTCGGCGGTGAAGGAGTCGCCGACCAAATAACCTCGCTGCTTTTCACTCACGGGATTTCCGTAGCACGAGGAATAGTCAATGTCACCGACGGCCGAACGAACATGCTGTTGACCAATTTCACCTCCGAGCGACGGCACCTTCCAAAAGGCACAACGTTGGCACATTTCGACGAGATCGCAGATGTTCATGACTGCTTTTCAGCACTCAAAGCAACACCTGCACAAGACCCACGTGACCTAGCACCTAACCTTGACGTCAGCCCTACTTTAACTCAGCAACAGCGGGAACGCCTGCTTGTGCTGTTAGACGAGTTCCACGACTGTTTTGCGTCGACCTCGAAAGTTGGCCGGACGTCCTTGACCAAGCACCGAATCATCACAGAGGACACGGCTAGACCAATTCATCAAAATCCGTACCGTGTGGCTTCAAAAGAGCGAGAAGCGATAGAACAGCAGGTAACAAAAATGCTTGAAGACGACGTCATTCAACCGTCGAAAAGCCCCTGGGCATCACCTGTTGTTCTAGTGAAAAAGAAGGACGGCAGCCTGCGTTTCTGTGTGGACTATCGAAAGCTAAATCAGGTTACAAAAAAGGACGTGTACCCGCTTCCCCGCATAGATGATTTGATTGACAGGCTTCGAAACGCACGTTACTTCTCTTCCATGGACTTAAAGAGCGGATATTGGCAAATTGAAGTAGACGCCAGGGATCGTGAAAAAACCGCTTTCGTGACGCCAGACGGACTCTACGAATTTAAGGTTTTACCATTTGGCCTGTGCTCCGCTCCTGCTACTTTCCAGCGTCTCATGGATACCGTTCTCTCTGGCCTTAAATGGACAACCTGCCTAGTATACCTTGACGACGTCATTGTGTTTTCTACAACGTTTGACGAACACCTTGAACGATTGCAAATGGTCTTGCAGGCCATACGGGCCGCAGGCCTGACGCTCAAGCCGGAAAAATGTCACTTCTGCTTTGAGGAACTGCAGTTTCTCGGCCACGTCGTCAGTTATGCAGGAGTTCGTCCAGACCCCGAAAAAGTTGCCGCCGTCGCACAGTTTCCAACACCATCAGATAAAAAGGGAGTGAGGCGTTTTCTGGGTCTCTGTGCATATTATCGGCGATTTATTCCAGATTTTGCACGCATTGCGTCACCTTTAACTCGTCTCACGAGGGATGACGTTGCATTTGTTTGGGGCGACGAACAGGAAGATGCTTTCAATGACTTGCGGCAACGTCTACAGACGACCCCCGTACTTGCCCATTTTGATGACACAGCCCCTACAGTGCTCCATACTGACGCCAGCAATGTTGGCCTCGGAGCTGTGCTTGTACAGCACCAGGATGACGAGGAAAGAGTGATTGCTTACGCAAGCAGAACTCTGTCACGCACAGAAGCAAATTACTCGACCACTGAAAAGGAATGCCTGGCCGTGGTGTGGGCAGTTATGAAATTTCGCCCATACCTGTATGGCCGCCCATTCAAGGTTATCAGTGACCACCATTCGTTGTGTTGGTTAACAAGTCTGAAAGATCCTTCCGGGCGATTGGCACGCTGGAGCCTTAGACTACAGGAGTTTGACATAACGATGGTGTATAAGTCGGGAAAACGACACACGGACGCCGACTGCCTATCTCGATCACCAATAGAGTCGGCTGCTGCTTTTGATGAAGAAACAGCATTCCTCGGAATCCTCGACACGTCAACCATCGCAGATCACCAGCATGACGATCCTGAGCTACTTGGCTTGATTAATTATTTAGAAGGACGAAGCCAGAATGCACCCAAAGCCTTTACAAGAGGACTATCGTCGTTCTGTTTGCGAAACAATGTCGTTTACAAAATGAACTTCTCGTCAGACGGGTCCACCTACCTGCTTGTCGTGCCTACCACTCTTCGATCTGAGGTGTTGCAAGCGTGCCACAACGAGGTAACATCTGGACATTTAGGCTACACGCGCACACTGAGCAGAGTTCGAGGGAGATATTACTGGCCTAGACTCACCGCTACCGTAAAGCATCATGTTCGGACCTGCCTCGATTGCCAGCGGCGCAAGTCACCTCCAACGAAACTAGCCGGTTTGCTACACCCTGTCCAGATCCCGACAACGCCGTTTGACCAGATCGGAATGGACCTTTTGGGCCAACTTCCCACCTCTAGTGTTGGTAACCGTTGGGTTATAGTGGCGACCGACTACCTTACTCGCTACGCCGAGACACAAGCCATCCAGAGAGGCACAGCAGAGGAGGTAGCCCGGTTCTTCATAGAGAACATTGTGCTGAGACACGGTGCGCCATCGATCGTTATAACAGATCGCGGAACCGCATTCACGGCCGCGCTTTTAGATCATGTGTTGGTGCTCAGCGGTACTATTCATCGCAAGTCGACAGCTTACCATCCACAAACCAATGGGTTGACCGAGCGACTTAACAAAACTCTAGAAGACATGCTTTCAATGTATGTGGACTTCGAACACAAAAACTGGGACGAGATTCTCCCTTACATAACGTTCGCATACAATACTGCGAAACAAGAAACCACACGGATGACCCCATTCAGCCTTGTTTACGGACGAGAAGTAAGAACGATGTTAGACGCGATGCTGCCACACGAATGCGATGACAACGAAACGAGTGCTGACGCGTTTACTCAACGCGCAGAGGAAGCCAGGCAGCTCGCACGTCTGCGAATATACAAACAGCAAGAGTACGACGCAGGCCGCTATAACCAACGTCATACACCTGTAACGTACGAAACCGGGGACAGGGTATGGGTGTGGACACCTGTACGAAGACGGGGACTATCCGAAAAATTGCTCAGAAGGTACTTCGGACCTTACCGAGTGCTGCGACGACTAAGTGACGTTACCTATGAAGTCGTCCCGGATAGCCCAAACTGTTCAAGGCGTCGCCAGCACCGACCTGAGCTTGTGCACGTAGTGCGCATTAAGCCATACGTCAGCGAGTGACTTTGCGAGGCACCGTCACTTCTACAAAGTGACTTCTTGCGCAAATTACTGTCTCAGCTATAGCATCGGGGCGATGCTCTTTTAAGGGGAGGCAAATGCCGCGCCCGAAACAAAGAACGAAGACGATGTGCGCACCAACAGCCTCGTGAAAAGGAGGACTGAAGAAGACGACGTACTTTCGTTTTTTGGCTCGCCTGCTCTTGGCTCCTGCATAAAAACACACGCCGTCTGTTCTCGGACTCAACGTCTCGGTGCACTGCTTACGTTGAACCGCGACAATATGTACAAACACACCCCTGCCCACGTGGCTTGTTTAGCCTACATTTAAAAATCTAATCACAACTGATGACTCGATTGGTACTACGGCTATGAACTACGGCGACCGTACTGAGGTGTTTTATGGCCGTGACGCCAAAGCATAAAAATAGCATCACTCACCATCTCCCAGTCCTTGTGAACGAAATCCACGCCCAGGTACTCAACGTAGGTGGCGAATCCTTCATTGAGCCACAGGTCGTCCCACCACTCCATGGTAACTAGGTTTCCAAACCACTGAAAAAGCAATGGACAAGACAATTGACGTGCTGGGTGAAGTCTTACAAGGCTTAATAGGTATCTCATCGAAACAAGTTACGTACAACAGCTTGATGCCATGGCGTAGCCAGGGTGTGGCACACCGCACCCTCTTTCTATTTTTTTTACCATACCATACAGAGCCCACACTGACACCCGACCACAAGTCACCCCCCCCCCCCCCCCCCCCACTGAAAAAAAAACTTTGTCTACACCCCTGGCTTGATAGTGTTTAGATCTGGGTGAGCTAAAACGCTATATCTAATCGTAGACGAAATCTTTCATCACATCTGCTAATCACACGAACGACACTTGACTATAAGTTATGGTTATCATATTAAAACGCTTCATGGTCCTGACGCCAAGACATGGACACATTTACCCTCTCCCATTACGGACAATATATACAGAGTAAGACGAATGATGCACACAACGCGCTAGCACCAAGCTTGTGTCTCAGCTTTATAACTCGATTATTTTTCCGAATGCACAACGTCATCTGCATACTAATGAACCATCAACAGGTTCAAATAGTAAGCTTTGTTAAAGCATGACTGTATTAAGAGGGAGGAAATAATGTAGACCGACTCGTTTCCTGCGCCTGTTTTTTTGCACCTGATACGCCACGAAACATGAAACTTCTATTCCAACACATGTCGAAACTTCGTGATATGACAGAAATCGCACCCATAGTATAGTGGCCGCATTTTCGATGAAAGCGGAAAGGCTCGAAGTCCGTGTACTAAGGTACAGGCGCGCGTTAAGTAAATCCACACGGTCGAAATTTCCGGAGCCCTTCTTTACGGCGTTTCTCAATCATATTGTGGTTTCAGGACGTAAAACCCTACTAATTATTAAATGTAACTACAGTGATGCCACCACTTCTGCTATTTTCGATTGTGTGCAGGTTTGCCATGACTACATTAAAATCCGAGTACTGTAAGCTTGTCACGGCGAATAGCACTGGAGATAACAGCAAAAGTATTCGCAGCCGATGTCGGCCTTAGGCAGATGTCTAAGGAGGCACATGTTTGATATCAAAGTAACGAAACGCATCCCACTCCTGTGATAGTTGCTGGCACCTGTATTACACAGAAACACGCACTCCGAGATCGGCATCCGTTACCACCAGACAGTTGTCCCCGCCAATGCGACTTCTATGCCACCTACAACCGTGTCACTAGGTTAGGTTAGGTTAGGTTAGGTTAGGTTAGGTTAGGTTAGGTTAGGTTAGGCCACGCGTACCTGATGTGCGAGTTCATGTGACACGACGACGGCGACGCGCTGCTTGTTTCCGGCCGACGACTCGTTCGGGTTGAAGAGTAGGGCCGTCTCTCGGAAGGTGACCAGTCCCCAATTCTCCATGGCGCCAGCATTAAAGTCCGGCACTGCCACCATGTCTGGAAACACAAAAGGACAAGCATTACATCCGTAAGCACGTGTGCATGCTGCGTGCCATCCGAGTCATTAGATGCTTGTCCGCGAACGTTCTCCTGATATAAATACATTGCGAAGCTACACGGCTCTCAGTCTTGAAGAAAAGCAGTGCGCCTTGAACATGGATTTTCGTAGGAATTGTAGCTCGAACTGATAAAGTATCATACACACGTCGCAAAGCTGGAAACATCACGGCGCCAGTCCACAAACTATCATACACAGTTAAAGATGGACAAGGCAACGCAACTCAACGATCCCGTAAGATACCGGAAGAGTGGCGCCTAAAGATACGAATAACACGTTCTACGTTATGTTTCACGCGAAGATCTAATTATTCAGAGGTTCGACTGCACAGAAGTGTGCTTTTTCTTTTTTGGTTGCAAGACATATATAGGCGGACCCACCACCGCGAATTCATTCATCCGTATACTTTATAGACGAGCAGTCGCAGTGCCACAATTGAAAGGTAATGAACCGACAGAGTTTTAGTATGGAACAAAACACAAGAAAACACTTCGGCGGTGCACGTCATCACTGCCGGCTTTTGCGGAACGATTGGTTCACTAAGTTCTAATCAGGCCCGTAGCTAGGAAATTTTTTCCGGGGGGAGGGGGGGTACACTTGTTGAAAGCCTTGAAAATTATTTTTCTAATGTAAAACACCCCCTCTACTCAAATTTCGGGAGGAGAATACCGAAACTCTATAGGCCACCTTCCCCCCCCCCCCCCCCTCCCTTAGGCTATGGGACTGGTCTCAAGTGCATAACTTAGTTGCCACTCTTTAGTCAATACGCTTCTGCTGAAGGCCTTCGTTAGCAGATACCGTGTAATTAGGAATAATATTTAAAAGATTGAGCAGAGTACTAAATCTTCGTCCACACGTATTCTGCGGCTTGCAGATGGAGCCTATACCACCACTCACCAGTCTTTGGGAGTGGATACTTTTCCGAGAAGTACTTTTCGTAGAATTCCAAGATCTTCGGACCAATTGATAACGAATAGTCCACGGCCGAGATGGCGTTTGGCCGGGCCCATACCCTGAACTGGAAAAAAAAATGAAGCGAGACGTGACAAAATGTGGATTGTGACAAAGAAAAGTTGAAAATAAATTACATTTTCGGACAACTAAAGAAGCAGGTATCAATTGCAAAAATATTTTTCAGAGAATTACTATAGTTTGGAGACACAAAACGGCACGTGGGCGCCGGTAAGCACACTTTCTTTTTTATATTTAATGCACGCTTCTTCTTGCATGAATACAAAAGCAAACGTTCACGTATTGTGTGTTTGACAGATTTCACTGCGGCTAATGCAAGCATGTACAGTCGTCAGCAAGCTTAACTCCAACACACCACATCATGTCCTGAAACGTTTCGAGTTACGCCAGTGCCGCGTAGCTTTCAGTCTTCGTGCCGTAATTTTACCCACGCATGCGGACACACTATCCACGGATTTCATCTTGTCAACAGAGCCCAGCGCTTCGCGGCTGCCATCAGTCAAACTAGTAGTTCAGGCTACGTTGCGGAGCGTTCTATAGCTAAGCCTAATGATACGCACACCTAGTAGTTCAGGCTACGTCGCGGAGCGTTCTATAGCTAAGCCTAATGATACGCACACAATGAAAAGTGAGGTGCACGAATGAAGCAACGTAACACCGACCTTGTCGTCGCCCCGAGACTCGAAGTCGCTCACCACGAACGCCAGCAAGTAAGTAGACATACGCACAGTAGTCTGGAAAGCATCCGCCTGTAGACCATTAGGCCTGCGAGAAAAAGACAAAGAAAATGATGGCCGTCCAAAATTTGTGGAACACCAATGGATCCACACAGCACTCGACACGGACATGCAGAATCAACTTATTCTCTATCTCCATAGGAGTTCATACTAATAAGTATTGATAAGCACTCATCCGTACGTGTATTTTGCAACGCACGTTCTGAATGTAAACCTCCTGTGCCCCATTTCGGGGGCCCACCAAGCAAGGTCATTAAATTCAACTCTGCGGACTTCACGGGCATTGCTCAATAGTGGGTTTTTATTCAATACGAAAGGCTCAAACCAACCAATTTTAAATCGAAATATGCCACTGTGTCATTTCCGCGACATTTGCACACGCGCATACACTAAATATTTTAACGTCTTCCCGTTTGGAAATGGTGGGTTTGCTTGTCCGATGACTGACATCCTCACTGTTGAGCGGTAAAATCGAACCGCAGGTAGACACACATGCAACTTTGTTGCTTTTGCACATCTTTTTGCAAATAATAAGGATGGTGGCTGCAATAGACAACTGAAGGATTTGTAACTATTTTAATAGCTGTCGCTACTCACTTCTCATATCAGATTTTGATTAATGACCGTAATCATTGACGTATAGGCTAATGGCACTCGCACGTAAGCGTTCGAGTGCTCCGGTGTACTGCTCAGGTTAACGTTGTGTTTCGCGTAATAAAAAAGCGGATCTCGGAGGCCACGCAAAAGAAAGCTCATGCTTGAGATCCTCTCCGCCAGGTCCCACAACGACGAAGGCTGCGGAAGATTTTTCAAGTGAACTCAATAAATCAATATTCAATAATTACCTTGACAACTAATTGTCTCTCATTTTAAGTGCTAAGTGCTTCGACATTATAGGTATCGGATATAACTCCCAACTTCAACCGGAACTATCGATTTGCATTGTTTAAAAGAATTTTTTTCCAAATATTCGGTGAACCGAAAGTAAGTGCTAGACCGGAAGTGTTTGGATAAGAAAACAAGAGTACGACTTGGTGCTGTAGTGCCACTAGAAATCTGTCTCACCTATTTGTGGTGGTGTTGATAGGCATGTTGGATAGTGCCTTCATGTTAGTCGGTCGAACGATGGTGACGGCGAAGGTGGCCTTCATGGCCGGTTCGTCGAAACAAGGAAACGCCCGGCGGGCGTCCGTCGCTTGGAACTGTGTCGTCGCCAGCCACCTGCGGAGAATGAAACACCGGTATGGAGCGACGTCTGAGACAGCATTGGAGTGTTTCAGCACATCGGAAGACGCTTACGTTAGCTTCAGAAAGCGTCTAAGCGCTAACGCTAAAACGAAACGCTCTGCCTCCCAACTGGTGGTCCCTTAGTACAGCGGAAGGCACTCCCGCTAACGCAAACGCAAGCACCTAAGGTGCCATCTATAGTTATCAAAACACTATATGCACTTTAGAAACCTCAATCGCGCCATTCAATCGAGTTAATCCGAAGTACAATCACTGTGTCTCCGTGCCACGTTTAGTTCAGTGTTGCGTCTGGCGGCCCGAAACACATCGTTTTCTTTCGACATACGTCGTAATCGAGCATTCCTCAAGACTCCTCTTACCTGGCCCAACTTGACTTGTGGCCGCATTCGCCTTCTCTTGAAAACAGGATAATTAGTACAACATTGCCATCTCTGGAGTGCTGCCGAAAACATGAGCAAACCTTGTAAACATTTTTTTAAGACCTCTTCACCCCAAATCGAGTGTGTATCTCAAAAACGTAGTTCTTTAATTGACAGTGTACAGCTAGGGAAGCCTCATTACTCAAATATAAATAAAGTATGTCCAGTATTTGGGAGTGAAGTACCTTAAAAATGCAGGCTGACGACCATAAAGATTCGAAGTAGACGGCTCTCGCTTCAACAGGCACCGCCATCCTGCCCTACGTACGGGATCTCTTGCGTGCGTTAGCTTTGAACGCCATGCCAGAAATAGCGTTTGTATGTAAAAGTTCAGGCTATGCTAACCTTCTGACCATGCTCAGTTTAGTAGAGCACGCAACGCTTACGCTAATGCTATATCCTTGCGTTTGCTGTTTTCCGCTATACTAAAGCTGTCCACTATCGCACAGCACTGACAGCAGTCTCGAGCGAAGCGAATAAGCGTCATCATAAATTAGTAGTTAATTAAAGACGATAGTCTTTCTTGGTGTACTTCGACACAAAAATTTTTCTCCTTCTGTCTGTAGATTTGTCTGTTTGTCTACCATAACGATACTCCTAACGGCATTAAGCGATGCCCTAATTAGCCAACCCCATCCGCAGAACCCACCAATATTGCTCAAGTTTCAGCGTTCATACTTGTGCGATTGTCAATTAAAAAGCAATTATTGCGCATATATGAGGCACCATAACAATACGTCAATATATTGTATGTATGAATTTACACAAGGGAAGGCACACATAAGTAATTCTAAAGAATGTAGCGTTTATCACGCTGCGCTGACAGTGCACAGCGATGCTCAAATAGGCAAGTATTTCCAACGTTTTGCTAGGATGACACCATGGTGACACCTGCCCGTCGCTTTGCGTACTACACCTTATCGCCTCCGAGACAGGCACGCATCTTTAATCTGTAGGCGCGCACGTCTTCCTTCGTTTTCGAAGATAACTGCCAGATAGCGCTCGTGTCTGCCTCGATGCGCTCGTTCGCCTTCGCTGCACGAATCGACACTCTCTAACGCAGCGCTTCCACAATACAATTCAGCGATTTTCTCGCGCAGAACATCAAGTAAACGTTTTGTTCACTCCTTTCACACGCAAGACTATCGTCTTTCGACGACATTTGCAGTAAAACATGCAGATACGGGGCCAATTCTGTTATGGTTGCTGCTAGTATTGAAGGTTGTGTCACGTCTGACGTCGTTAGAAGGTGGTCCACTCATGCTAAGCTTTTCCTTTATGCTTTGCATCTAAAAAAACCTACTGCTCGCGCTACACAACCATTCACGGGCCACCCCGTGTACGAGCCACTGTATCTTGGCTTCCAAGGTAACGCCAATGGGAGATTTCTGCTGTGCGTTGTTGAACAATAAAAATTTGCAGCGGGCGCGTTAAAGCGGACTGTGGAATGAGTTTCTATGTCCAAGCGGAGTCTGTTGTCTCGAATTGCCCATTAGCAGTGATTGGCATGTTCCAGTAGCAAGCATCGGTCTATCACTGCGTGCTCTGCACCTCACCAGGTTTCTCTACTGCGCAACGCCGCGATCAGCCCAAGCGTCAAAGCCACCGTCTGTGTAAGCGTTACCGCCCACTTCTTCGCATCTACACATAGTTTCCTCAAGCGGGAGACGGTGCAATGTTTTATATTCGCTACGTGTGATGATATTAGTAAACACGAAATTATCAAGAAATAAGAAAACAGAAGTAGTTGGGAACTAATGTGAAACGGGATGCTCAAATAGTGAAATGTCAGCACTACAATGTGCACCTATCATACGTAATTACATTAAAGTGCCACGTGTAACTGTTTAGCTGCCTGCTCATGAGGCACACTCTATTTTAAAGTATGTGCGACTCCTTTTGGGTAGTCCTGAATATCTACGTATACGACTCTCTTTAAAGAGGCACGTTAACTTTATTGTGAGTCACACGACTCTCAGAAGAGAGCATAATGAAGACCTCCAAAGACATTTGATATGCTTCTTGAAAGAGAGTCATATGTGTGGCAAGTAGGAACTCTGAACAAAAAAACATTCATATGACTTTTTTTATTATAGTGCATGCAGCAATGCCAAATACACGTTTAAATACTTTTTTGGAAGATTTGCGTCCAAAACGCGGTATGTTTATGAGAGACGCCATAGTGGAGGTCTCGAGAAATTTAGACCACCTGGGGTCCTCCAACGTGCCCCTTAATCTAAGTACACGGGTCTATAGGATTTTACCTCAATCGAAATGCGCCCGCCACGGTCGGGATTCAATTCCGCGACCTTCACGTTAGCACTAAAGTTTCATAACCATTAAACCACAGCAGCGGACAGCATACGTTTTCTATTCGCGCATACCAACGCGAAACCAAAAAGAAAAGTAAGGGTGGTGCTGGCAACACTGGTGTGACTAGTCAGCTAAATCAGCACTAACATTGGTCTCTCTCTCTCTCTTTCCTTGCACACTGATCTTGCATGGTATACAAAACGAGCCACCCGACGACATATTCTCGCCCTTTAACACATTGATGGCTGCAGAGTCCTATACAAACAATGTGCGCAATTGGTGGCACTCTCCTCAGAAGCTGGACCGATATCCTGTCACCGCTCACGCGTACGGTCAAAAAATCATACGCAGCGGGTGCTACGTGTCACGAACTATTCTGGCTACAAGCCATGGCGTACAATATGCATGGCCCATGGCTAAGGAAAAAAAACATTCTTTAAACCAGCTTCACCATAATGTCTAACCCAAGTAATAAATAAAATCGTGCTCGACGTGAAACATTGGGTAGAAATGCACAAAGAGAATATTATCGCAGACACCAAAGTATATCGTCACGTCACCATCCTCTCAATATTTCATCAGTTTCTCATTATAATGAACTACTGTACTCTAAAACAAATCGCACGTTTTCAATCATCCCTGACGCTTACATATCTCGTCATACTGCCCACGCTGTTCCCCCTTTTATTCTTCACGTACTATCAGCGTCACATGGAACCCCGAAACACGAAAGAGCAAGACATTTGATATTTTTTTTTTAGACGTCCGAAATGAGAGAGCGTTGTTATATATATAAACCATTAACCGACTTCGTAGTGCGGGTGTGTGTGCTGCGCTTGCAAAAAATTACAGCATGCATTACGCACATACGTTAACAAAAGGGGAAGAACTGCTGCATGCCCTGTAACCGCTGTTTTGAAGAGTGACGTCACTGTAGTCGCCTGCTTGCTGCGCTCATCGGTCCTTTGGTTTCGGTTTCACTGCAGAATTCAGGAGAACTTCATTATTTCGCAGGTATTACTAGAGGCCACTTTTTCGAAATCTCATAGCAGCAGTGGGTTGTTCGCACGCGTGACTTCAATTCTCCCATTATACTTAACTGCCTAGCTTTATTAATTAAAAAGTTAATTATTTTAAATTCCAGATTACTGTCCCAAATGGTGTCTTCAAACCGCTTAAGATGCCTGCCGCTGCAGAAAAGGCAACTGTGAAGACAGCGAGCAAATAGCACCTTTTGTCGATTTTTCAAAAATATTGTACAGATTTCTTGAAACAGCCGGTATATGCGGATTCTATGGGCGATATTTTATCATATTTGTGGACCGACAAAAATGTGTAGTGTGAACTAAAGAACAAGCCTAAAGGAAGTCAAATCATCCTATACGGTAACACTACAAACACATGGAGGCCCTTGTTGAGTTCGTTTCCAGTATAGTTAAAAAAAAATTGCTGTGCATAGTACGCTTCCACGACGGATTCATGAGATGCTATTTTTCATTCCAAGCGTTATTGTAGTCCTGACGGCCCTAAATTATTTACGCCGTATAAGTGAAAGAAGAATTTGTGATCGCTTGCCTTTATCTTGATCAATAATAATATAATAGTTGCTGGGGTTCAACATCCTAGGACAATGATGAGATTATGACAGACGCTCCGGACATTTCCACTTGGTGGGATTCTTTAACGTGCAGCTAATGCTAAGCACATCTGCCTCAAGCATATTCGCCTCAACTGAAAACGCGGCTGTCGCAGCTGAAATATCATACCGCGACGTACACGGGTTTGAAGTGGAACACCATAACCACTAGGCCAACGCGGCGGATCTTAAACATGATCAACGTGACCAAGGGTCACTCCAGATAGGAACACCAACTTAGGACGACGTCATGTAGAATGCACTACAGAACCCAAAACATGTGCGCATTGCCGACAAGCCTGCTATTACCGATCCGCTCGGGAAAGCTTTCGCCATGTTTGCGAGAGTGGATTGGCAACTACCGTCCTACTTCGTGTTGAGCTCATTCAGCATTGCATAGAAAACTATACAGTAAGGCTTAACTTCCCCGCACTAGTCACCCACGGAGAGAAATGTCAGTTTATTCAGTTAGCGCGTGACATACAATGACACTATCGGGTGAAATGAAGTTATATCTTTCTCTTCGTGGTCACAGAGTCACTTCGAATGACGTATGAGGAGTTGTAAGTTCATCCTTCGAGCTAATAATTCCACATGATTCCAAT